GTTGCAAAGCAGGGAGGGGGATGCAGGGACCGGGGATGACTGGGCAGACGCTGGAGAGAAGACACCTCTTTCCACTGTCTCCTGAGGTCAGCATCCTTCTGCTGGGCTCTTTCTTGTTTTCTGTTGTTGTGATGGTGGTGGTAGTAGGTCCTTTGGGGGTTTTGTTTGTTATCTGTTGCTGCTTTGGCAGACTTGTTCTTTGCCCCTACCTCAGAAGCGTTTCTAGTGCAGAGTCTTAATGAGGTCCATAAAGCTATTAGCGTGCTCATTTGAAAGAATAAGTTGGACTGTCAGCTAATAGTTAAGAGATAGCTAGTCCACCTCTCTATCTGACTTAGTTACTCAGTAACCAGTGCCATGTAGGGGGAGGTGAGACTCTAAAAGTGCCATCTCTTGCTAACACAGACTTAGAGGGTCATGGGGTGGGCACCCTGCCTGGAACAGTCTGTGGGCCTCGCCACGCACGTTCCTGGGTCTCTGGCCTGCTTGCCCAGCCTGGCCAACACCTGGGCTGCCATCCCTCCCCCTCGCAGCCTCCCTGGGGCAAGCTAGGTGAAGCCCGACTGTGTATTTTTCCCCCTGCTCCCTTTCTGGGGCCTCTTGTTTCTGCAAGAAGGGCTTGTGAAAGCAGAAGTGAAACTTGCGGGTTCTACAGGCATCAGGAGCACGTCAGCTATCTTCCCTTTGAGCTACTGTGAGTTCGACAGCCTTTGTGTCAGCCCAGCCCTTTACCAGACCCATGTCCCCAGTCCCCTTTGAACTATGGCACCTTGGCCTTTTTCTCAGAAGAGCTGCCAGAGTGGAATGGAAAGAGGACTTGACTAAGGGGAGGCCCCAAGTATGCTCTGCCCAGCTAGCGGTGCCCCTCTGGGCTCATGCCGCCATTGTGCTGTGGTCCAGGCAGGGAGTCCCAGAGGAGGCCAGTGCCCATCCTAGCATCGCACAGCAGTTTGAGGTCCTTCTGCCCCACCGCCTCCCTCCCTGTGACTCTCCTGCTATCTTGGGTGTCAGGTTTTCTACTGAGGGATGGGGTTAGAGCTGAGAGAAAGGTCAGGCCGAGCTTCTGGACAGGGCTGGAATCTGGCAGATCAGCTTGACTGTGGATCTCTGCTAGGTCTCCCTGTCTACTTCCAAGGGAGAACATGGGTGGGCCCAGTGGACCAGCCTCTGCTGTCTCCCCGTTGCAGGCTCCCGCATGCGCACTGGTAGCTTCGGGGCATCTTCGTGTTCCTCTAGCCCACCTCTGTATACTAGGCATGTGGGAGGCGTGGCCATGCTGGCCTCCAAATCCCTACCTTACAGGCAAATCCAGGGCCTGGAACCACCACCGCTCAGAGGAGTTTGGTGCTAACCCACACCCTGCTCACCTCCCGTAACAGAGCAGCACGGGCTGCCTCCGCCCCCTCCAGCTTTCCTTCCTCAAAATCTGAAATCGTAGTAGCTGTCATTTTTAAGTGTCCACCGGGTGTGAGGAACATGTAAGAGCTGTCCTATGCATCATCTCATCAGCCTGTCAATAGCCCTACGAGAAAGGTGATAAACACTACTTTGCAGACCACTAACAGGTGTAAGGAATGAAATCAGGTTTCGCCTGATTCCTAAGTCCTTGCTCTTTTCTCTTACAGAGACCAGCTCCCTGAAATGCACCACCGAGGGTCTCCCTAGAGGGTGGCTGGCGGTGTGGATGAGGCAGAGGGAACCAGCCCTACCTTCTGCGAGGAAGCTTGTCTGGAGCTTCCCAAACTAATCAGCAGGGCAGAGCCCTGGGTCTTCATCTGGCTTAGCCTGGGAGGTGCCCGGAACCCTCTGACATAGAAAATCCCACCCCTCTTCAGTGACTCCCCATCACCCCAAGAGACAGTCGAAACTCACCCTAGGCCCTCCATGATCTGTCCCCTCCCTCCTTCCCCACTCCTTCACCTTCCATGCTTGGCCCAGTCCCACCTTCCAGACCTCTGGCTACATAGCGTTCCCCAGACAGGTATTATTGCTGTTCACGCCTCCGCACTTTTGCACACGTACTTCCCTCTCCCTGGCGCCACTTCCCGCCCCAGCCATGGTGGACCTGGCCACCTCCTGCTTGTTTGTGAAGATTCGGCTGAAGCCTCACCTCCTGAATCCTTTCCTGACACTGCTCCCATCCCAGCTGGTCTCGGTGTCCCTGCTTCCGTGTCATGCAGGGCTGCCCTCTTTTATGGCACTGTCGCACCAATTCTGTTTGTCTCCCTGCTGACCTGCGAGCCCCTGGAGGGCAGAGGTCTCTCTTACAGCTTCTCTGGGTCCCTAGCACAGTGCCTGGCATATGGCAGGATGTGGATGGGAAGGCAGTCCTGTTTCTGCCAGAGAGAATCGAGATGTCAGAAATGGGCCTGGGTGTGCCTGCTGTCCTGTCTTAGCTTCTGCCACGCAAGGTTGGGAGGGACAGGACTCCAGAAGGCAGATAAGGAAGAACACCGGGGACCACAGGCTGGAGAAAGCCAGGGCAGGTGACCTGAGGTGGGCAGGTGTTGGCACTTGGGGCTGAAGCAGTGTCGTGGTGGGAGGAGCGAGGGAGGAGAAAGGTGGCTGCCAGCAGGGCTGTGCCATTTGATCCCTCATCGTGTCTGAGCATCTCCTGCGTGGGCTCGGCATGGCTGAGTTGCAGCCTGGGCCTCCCTGCCTGGCCTGTCAAGGAAGGACAGTCAGTGCTGGGGGGGTGCTCAGTGGGGCCTGGGGATCCTTCAGGCCCAGAGGAGATCTGATCTGTCACCAGGGTCAATGGCTGTATCCAGGTGGCAGCCGAGATAGACTCAGCTGATCCCGGGGGGTCGTAAAGGTGGCCCAACAGACACGTAGGGACTAGGGTGAGAGTTACATTGTGTTCCCTGGTCTTTGAGCTAGATATGGTTGGCACTGTCCTCCGTGGGCATCTGATGAGGAAACCGGAGGCAAAAAAGGCTTAGGAACTTTCATTTGGTTACACAGTAAATTAGAGTCATCCCTCAAAGCTTTCAGCTTTTTTCCAGACTCAGCAGCTCCCCGGGCAGGACACTGGTGAGTGTTATCTGTAGGGCTGTGATTTTCTTCCATCTTGTGCACTTTGAAGAAGCCTCACTGGGCAGCCTCTCCAGTTCTCTCAGAGACACCCCCAACCCTGCCACCAGATTCTGGAAGTTCCTGAGGTAGGAGTCATGAGCCATTTGCCAAGTGGAAAACATTGCTGCCACCAAGCTTGTGTATGTCACGGGGTCACTGTGACAGTCCCTTGGAGTAACCCCAGATTCCCTGGAGAACCCCTGGTGACTCCCCCCCAGCCATGCACCCTCGGCAGTGGGGAGCCAGAGAGGCTGGGCAGTAGAGAAAGCATAAGATTCAAGCTCGAGAGAGCTTCGTTCTTAGTGGAATGGAGAGCCACCGAGAAATGTTAAGCCAGGTGACAGCGGGGGCACATGTACCTTCAATCTCTTCAGAAGATAAACTGTGAGGCAGTGGAGGGAATGAGACAGAGAACGAGTCCAGGGGTGAAGGGCCCTGGTAGCCCAGCCTGAATTCAGCCTCTGCTGAAACACCCCTTCATCTCACAAGCAGGAGCCTTCACGACATGCTTGGGAGGAAGTGATTTGGGGTTTGGAGGCAGATCCCTGGAGAGGGCAGACTGAGCCTCCAGTGTCCTGGTCCTTTGGTTCGTGGATCCCAGGGGTAGAAAGTGTTTCAGGCCCCCTTCCCCTTCTTCCCCACCTTCTCCACGGGCTCTTTAAGAAACCAAGGCTCTGGTCTTTCTCCTGGGCTAGAGTCCATGCTGAGGTCTATTTTCCATGTACTTCCTGGCTCCTGGCTGCTGACTCGTCTCAGCTGATGCTGTGACTCAGGAGGACATGGAAGCCCTTCCTCAGAGCCTCGGCAGAAGGGGAAGGGGGAGCACGCAGTGGAAACTTCGGTGGTGCCTGGCTGAACTGTTCTTTCCGCCCCAGACCAGCGCATGGGATGAGAAGCACTGTGTGAGAGGGCCCATGTGATGTGTGAGCCACAGATGGAAAGGATGACCCCTCTGTCCAGTGGAACGGACTAGGGCAGAGGACCTGGGCTCTGTCACCAGCTTTCCTTCTGTTGCCACATTTCCAACTAGGTTTTGGGCTCTGCCCCTACTGGGCTGCAGCAGGTGCTGTTTCTGCCATGTTCTAGGCTTAAGAGCAGCGTCGACTTCACTTTATTTTATTTATTTATTTTTAAAATTAATTTATTTATTTTTGGCTGCATTGGGTCTTCTTTGCTGTGCGCGGGCTTTCTCTAGTTGCGGCGAGCGGGGGCTGCTCTTTGTTGTAGCGTGCGAGCTTCTCATTGCGGTGGCTTCTCTTGTTGCGGAGCACGGGCTCTAGGCACGCGGGCTTCAGTAGTTGTGACTCACGGGCTCTAGAGCGCAGGCTCAGTAGTTGTGGCGCACGGGCTTAGTTGCTCTGCGGCATGTGAGATCTTCCCGGACCAGAGCTCGAACCCGTGTCCCCTGCGTTGGCTGGCGGATTCTTAACCACTGCGCCACCAGGAAAGTCCCGACCTCACTTTAAAGACAGACCCTTCTCCCACATCAGCCTCCTGCCGGCTTCCAGCATGTCCAGTATTTTAAATACAGTTATATCTCCCTGCCCCCATCTCTCACACACACAGAGGCACCCCGATCTTAGTGAGGCCAGAGAGAAGCGGAGGTGATGGGCAGTGGTAAGAGCAGGAGGGGGTACTTTGGTGTCGTCTAGGGTGCTGATGCTGGGCTAGCTCTGTCGGGAGGCCTCGGTAGCAGGAGCAGGGACATGGGGCCCCCCGAGCACTCTGGCCTCTGGCGTCTGTTCCTACCCTCCCCTTGGCCTCTGCCCCAAGGAACTTGTGTCTGGAGGGGAGCCTGATGTAGAAGAGTTGGTGGTGCTGGGGCTCTGAGGCTGCTAGAATGGGCACAGGTGCATGCTTCCTGGACACAGTAGAGGCGGAGGTCCGAGCGCCCTGCCAGCCCAGCTGCCCACCTCTCCCTGCAGGTACCGAGGCTTCATCCTGCTGATCACTTTCCTCATCTACACCTGTTATCACATGTCCAGGAAGCCCATCAGTGTCGTCAAGGTGAGGCTGGCCTGGGCGTAAGGAAGAAAGCAGGAGATGCTGGGCCCCAGCAGAAATACACTTCCGTAGAATGGTCTGGAACTTGGCATATAACCATCCTTGTTCCCTTACCTTGGTCACTGAGCCCGCTCCTTCCCCCTGGCAGAGTTCCACTTTCAGCAGTTCTCTTTTCCCAGGAGAGTTTCCTGGGTTTATTCACCAAGACGGTGGTGTCGGGGGCTGCGGGTGGAGCCAGAGAGCAGACACCCTGGGCCCCGTGTCTACCCTGCGCGTAGACCCCCGTTGCCCTTCACCGAGGCTCTGCTGTGGCCACTTGCCCCTGGAGCCAGTTCTTGCCGGAGGAGGGAGCATGGGGTCCGGTCGAGGGGGGCAGCGGGGCTGGTGTGTTGGAGGCTGCTTGCTCCTTTCGGGGCCACAGGATGCCCCCTGACCTGTGCACCCGTGGCTCCTCCAGAGCCGTCTGCACCACAACTGCTCAGAGATGATCCAGCCCATCAGCGACACCCACAGGCTCAACGACACCACGTGGTGCAACTGGGCCCCATTTGGTAAGAGCGGGGCAAGCTGTTCTTTCCCACAGCCCACTCCCCCTACCCAGGATAGGGTCAGCCGGGGCCGGAAAGGGCTTCCTGCAGGGGCGTCCAAGCAGCCAGCCAGCTTTCTGCCTCTCCCATGGTCTTTCAGACCAGAGCAACTACAAGGAACTCCTGGGGGCAGTGGACAACGCCTTCCTCGTGGCCTATGCCATTGGCATGTTTATCAGGTAAGAGAGAGGCGGAGCCTGTGACTGCCCGCAGCAGAACCGTTCAGAGCTGCTGTCTCCCCTTGGCCGACCTGGGGGCAGCAGGGTCAAAGGGAAAAAGCTCGGGGCCCCCGCACATGGAAATGAGACGACAAGACTTGCACACGTCATGTCAGCCCGTAGTCAGCGTGCTCCCACGGTTACCGAGCCTGCTCCTTCACCTGGCCAGCTCCCACTTTTAGTAGCTCTTTTCCCTGGAAAGGCTTTCCTGGATGTCCTTTTGAGTTTATGCACTCAGATGGCAGTGTCAGTGGTGTGGCTGGGAAATGGTTTGTCCTAGACCGGGGTCCTTCAAGGATAGCCCTGGATGCTAGGAAGACCCCAGCACGGCTTTTACGTAGCAAGCGTGATGTTTGTTCCCAGGAATCAAAGATGACTGAGGCAGGGTACCACCTCCAGAGAGCTCACAGTCTAGTGGAGTGACCGATAACAGCAGCTAGGTATAAAGCAGTGTGGTGGCTCCCAGACAGGTGGCTTCATACGGGGCGCTCTGGGGGCTCCGAGGGGTCACTTAGTGTGAGCTGGGATTAGAGAAGAGGGGTTGGGGAAGGCTTCTTGGAGGAGATGACACTTGAACTAATGAAGAAGAATTGGGCTTGGCAATGCAGAAATGGCTAGGTGGAGGGAATGGCATGGGCAGAGTAAGGCGAGTGTGAAACAGCATGATCTGGGGGGACAAGTAACAGGTTTACCAGAGTGTAAAATGCAGGAGATGGGGCTGAAGAATGAGGTCATTGTGTACCAGGCCGTGGGCACAGGAGAACCTCTGAAGGGTGGCATGTTCAGATTAACATGTCAGATCTCTGTGAGGGTGACAGAAGGTAGATTTGAGGGCGAGTAGGACTGAGTACCAGGTCACACTAAGGAACAGATCTGATAATAGCTCAGCTGAGCTTTGAGCAACGCCTGAGTGAGAACAATAGTAATAGAGATGATAAAGTAACGACGCACTGGAGAGATGTAAGTAAAAGGTACAGGTCTTGGAGGTTGCTTGTGAAGGGTGGGGCGGAGAGGCAGGAAACTGAGGTAGCCCCGTGGTTTCTGGCTTGAGTGGCCAAACGTGGTGGCGACATCCACTCAGATGAGGGGCACAGGACACGGGGCGGGGTGGGGGGCAGAGGCAGAGGCGTTCTGATTTTGGAGTTGTTGAGTGGCAGTTGTTTTGGGGAGCATCCCAGTCAAAATGTCTGGAAGGCATCTGGATATGATCGTGAAGCTCTGGGGGAGAGTTCAGGGCTGTAGATATGCAGCTGGGCTGTGTAACGTATATGTAGCTGGTAGTTAAAACCATAAAAGTGATGCAAGAGAAAATGCATGAGAAGCGCTGGTCAGCCAAGGGGGGAGGCAGGTGGGCCACGGTGACCTCACAGAGGCCACGGAGAGCGCACTTCAAGGTGCTCGGTCAGCAGCGTCAAATAAAGCAAAGGAGCCCAGTGAGTGGGGGACCGAGGGTGTCCCCGGCGTGTGGCAACCCAGAGGTCACTGGTGGTCACCTTAGCGGAGGCGTTTCAGTGGCTTTGGGCTGGGGGCGGAGAGATAGGAGGTAGAGAGCTGAAGGGCGCAGGTAGCAGAGACTACCATGGATCCAACTCTCTCTTCTGCAGTGGCATTTTTGGGGAGCGGCTCCCCCTCCGTTACTACCTTACAGCCGGAATGCTGCTCAGCGGCCTTTTCACCTCGCTCTTTGGCCTGGGGTATTTCTGGAACATCCACGCGCTCTGGTACTTTGTTCTTATCCAGGTACGAGCCTTGGCCTTGCACTCAGGCCTCTGTTCCCGGCACAGAAAGATAGTAGAGGCTGCAGGTCCTTCCCAGCCGCCCCAGGTCCCGGCGCATCCAGCCCTGTGCTCCTTTATCACGATGCGGGGTCCCATTGCCCATTGCCTGTGGTCACCCTCGTGGGCTCTGTGAGTTTGCGCTGAGCGTTACCCTGAGGTCCGTGGAGGTGCCTGCGAGGCCTGGTCTCTGCCGTGGGGATCTGGGGCCACAGGAGAAATCAGCTGGTGGGTTAGGGGGTGCGTGCACGCAGGTGAAGGAAGGGGGTGCGTAGTGTGTGCTGCGGAGGGGCCCCCATCCCAGAGGCTGCACCGCTCAGCCCGGGCCTGTCCCGCCTCTCTCCTCCCTCCCTGCAGATCTGCAACGGACTCGTCCAGACCACGGGCTGGCCCTCCGTGGTGACCTGTGTGGGCAACTGGTTCGGGAAGGGGAAGTGAGTGTGATGGGACAGGAAGGTGGGCGGCGCCTGGGGGGCTGGGCTGGTGGGTCCCTCGTGGCCCCTGATGTGATTTCAGGGTCAAAGATTAGAAACTTGCCTCCTTCTTGCTGACTTTCACAGGCCGAGATACACATGTTTTAGTGACTAAAAGCAGTACTGATTTTCTCATTGCTAAGGTTTTGATCCTTAAAACCTGCAACCTCAGTTATGCTTTTTTCCTCTTAATAGATGAATTTCCATTTTGCGTGAAGACAAAAACGAAGCCTATAAAACTGTGTTTGTATACACACACACACATATATATGTGTTTGTATATATTTATATATATATATATATTTTTTTTTTTTTCCTTGAACTGGCTTTTGTGCGAAAGTTTCTTTAGGGCAGGGTTTCTCAACCCTGGCACTATTGACATATGGGGCTGGATAATTCTTTGTTGTGGGACCATCCTACACAGTGTAGGGTGTTCAGCAGCCTCTACCCCTAGATGCCACTAGCGCACCCACAGCTGGGACGGTCGGAACTCTCCAGACGGTGCCCGTGTCCCCTGGGGGCAGAGTCACCCCTGGTTGAGGACTTCAGAGTCACGGCCTTAGGGCAAGAGAAGAAAGGGCTGGGGCTCTGGGCCCTGGGGCAGCAAGGAGCCAGAGAGTGCTTGCTCAGGGAGTGGCTGGGGAGCGGGACCCCCGGCCTTGCTGTCACTCCCTTGACACCAGCAAACCCTCCCGCTCCTCCCTGAGGGGGTCTTCAGCTCAGAGGCTGCAGGCAGCCAGCTTTTTGCACTTGGTCGGGCGGTCGCCAGGAGCCCTGTGCTTCTCTTCTCACTTTTCCCGTTCTTCTCTCCCTCCCTCCCTCCCTCCCCTCCAGGCGGGGGCTCATCATGGGCATCTGGAATTCCCACACATCCGTGGGCAACATCCTGGGCTCCCTGATCGCCGGCATCTGGGTGGATGAGCAGTGGGGCCTGTCCTTTGTGGTGCCCGGCATCATCACCGCCGTCATGGGCCTCGTCACCTTCTTCTTCTTAATTGAATGTGAGTGGAGCCCTCCCTCCTCACAGGGCCGGAGCTGAGCCTCCCGGTCAGGCCCTGGGAGAAGGCGTGGGTAGCGTGGGATCGTGGGGTCAGAGCCACAGATGTGTGACTTGGGACAGACAGCCTCTCTGAGCCTCAGTTTTCTCATGTGTGACAGAAGTATAACAACGCCTGCTTCCCTGGGCTGTTGAGCGTTTCCATGAGACGTGAGACTGAGGAGGGAAAGGTTGGGGGGACCTCTCCACCTTTGCTGCCTCTTCCCAGCTCCCTGACAGATGGGTCAGGGAGTCAGGGCCATGGTCACCTGTAGCAAGAGAACGAAAGTCCACGAGGCAGTAGTGACACAACTTACTGTTAGGAGACCCAGACCTCGAAGGTGGCCTCCGGAGCCCCGGTGCCATGCTCCCTTGTGCTGGAAAGTCAACTCACCCGCTTTGAGGAGGGGTGGGGACCACACGCCATGCAAGGTGAGGGCCTGGCCTGCTGGGAAGCTTCTTAGAAGATTTTTCTTTCAGACCCAGAGGACGTGGACTGCTCACCGCCTCAGCACCACGTGAGTCCTATCCCTGCCCTCCACTCCACCCGGGGGCTGGTCCCAGGGAGGCCTGGGGAGTTGGAGGAGGGGCCTGTGTGCCCACAGTTACTTCACAGGCCCTTGGGTGAGGGCCAAAGTCACGCCCTCGGGGGGCTCCCCGACAGCCTGACGGGCCCGGCAGGATGTTAGTCCAGTCCAGGAAGGGGACACATACCTCTTCCAGCGTGGGAGCCCCTACCTCTCACACGGGCTGTGCCTCCAGCTGGTGGGAGGTGGTACGTGGACGTGCCCACAGCAAGGGCTCTTCTCTGCTCAGGGTGAGCTGGAAGAGAACGTGGACAACGCTGAGGACCCTGGCAATGGACCCCACTCTAACAGAGAGAACGGCCTGGAGTCTGCCGTCACCTTGTCCAAGGAGCCAAGTGCTCAGCCCGCTGCCATCAGCTTTTTTGGGGCGCTCTGGATCCCGGTGAGTCTTTTGTGGACTGGAAGGAGGAGAGAGGCTCTCTAGATTTTTTTGCTGGGTCTCAGGAGATGGGGATGCTCAGGGTGACCTGTGGTTTCCAGAATTTCTTTACATGCAGTGCCTAGGGAGGGCGGCCCACTTGGGGAGGGGCACACGGGAGACTCGTCCAGACACAGCATATCCGGGCCACAGGCACACTGCTGTTACTGAGGCTGGAGAGGTCCTCGAGGCTGCTTTGTGCAGTGGGCGGTGGAAAGTGCTGGGTTGGGGCTCCGCTGACGGACCAAGGGCGTCTTGCCCCTGTTTCCATCGCGCCCTCTGTTACGCTCCCCAGGGTGTGGTTGAGTTCTCCTTGTGTCTGCTGTTTGCCAAGCTGGTCAGTTACACCTTCCTCTACTGGCTGCCCCTCTACATCTTCAATGTGGGTGAGTACCCGGGGAAGAAGAGGTGAGGAACGGAGGGGTCTCTGAGGAGGAAACCTGTCACGTGACACGTACGACTCCAGGAATAGGCAGGATTTCTGCTGAACCTCTCCTAGGGCAGGAGGGAAAGTTTTTTTCTTTAATGGGAAGCTAAACCTTGCAGATGCACCCTCGCCCCCCACCCAGTCCCTGATTCCAGCCACTTTTCCTCCCTTGGCGCTGAGTCGGGGTTAGGAACTCAAAGCTCTGTTCTGCAATCCTCCCTAACTTCTCCAGCCTCAGGTATAGGAGAAGCCCCCCTCCAGGCTGCTTGGCTCATAGGTGGGCGGGACTGGAGGGTGCTGGAAACGGTCTGCCTTTTGAGCGCCTCCAGGAGCCCCTTAAGCCTTCCCCCCAGCCCAAGGAAGAGGGCCTGATGAGCTACCCCCACTGCCTGTAGCCTGGCAGTAAACGCTGTTCTCTTCCAAGGAGGGCTGCCGGGAGCCTCAGGGGATTGATGCCCTGTGCCTGGGTCTGCTGGGCTGCCCACCTTGTGGCCCTCCTCTCCCCTGCCTCTGACCCTGCCCGAGGATGGACAGATGAGGAGAGGTCACTCTTGGCGGTTGAAAAGGATGTTTATGTTCCCCTGTCCTGGATCTCTGGTTTTCCACACGTGGAGCTACTCTATCAGGGAGCAGTTCTGCCCCCAGAGCCTCAGAGCCTCAGAGCCCCACCAGGGCCAAGGACCACTCAGCCAGGGCTGCCGGGCTCCCTCCAGGCCCCGTGGGAGGGACGAGGCTGCTCTCCACACAGCATCCTTGCACCGAACAGGATGCGGTGGGGATGAGTCAGGGCCAGGTCTCAAGCTGTAACTCACCCCCCCCAGCCCCGCCCCCGGCTCCATCTGAGGGGCCTCTCTCGACGACGGGGGTAGAGCACCGGGGCAACCCTGCGGTCACCGACTCTTTGTTCTGTGGCCTTGATGCTGGCTACAGAGTGTGAGTCAACCTTGAGGGCTGGGCTACAAGTCAAGCTTCTGGGCGTCCCTTTTTCTAATTCTAGGGCGAGGTCTGGGACCTGAGGTCCCCATTTTCCCACAAGCCTCCTTCCTGGCTCTGTTTATAAGCAGGGACCTCAAATGGAGGTGACAAGCTTCTATGGGGACCAGCTGCTCGGTCAGGGGGAGGGCAGGAATGGTGCTGGACAGGCTGAGGCTCAGTGAGAGCAGTTGTACCCCCAGTGGGACAGGGCCCTCAGGGGCCAGATCCCAGTGCTTTCATAGAAGGGCTTTTCCGGGAGGTCAAGGCCATCCGACAGGACTGGGGGCCAGAAAGGGCATCCGGTCCCAAACTGCTGCAGACTCGCTTGTGACCTTGGCCAGTCATTTCTCCATGGGCCCCACTCCTTCCTCGGAAGGTGATACTGGACCAGGTGTCTGCAGGGACGTTCCCAGCGGTGGCCCTCCAGGATGTCTGCCCGGAGCCCCCAGGTCTGAACACATGCTTTTGTTTTCCACAGTTCACTTTACTGCCAAGGAGTCCGGGGACCTGTCCACGCTCTTCGATGTTGGTGGCATCGCAGGTGAGGCCATGCCCTGCTCTGCCTCTAGGCTGCATCCCCCTCTTCTCTTGTCAGGGTGCAGAAAAATGGGACAGGTCCAGTGGGATGTGACCTAGGCAGGTGGCATCCTGCCCAGGTGGTCTTCCCGTGAGCAGTGGGTGCGGGGAAGGCTGCAGAGGGAGACACTCAGCTGGCTCTGGGTACCCGGCCCCGGTTCGTGCTGGGCTGAGTGATGGGGCAGTGCTCGGGGTCCCACGTGCCTGGGGCGGCAGTGTGCACGTTGTGTTCCAGGCGGCATCCTGGCGGGGCTCATCTCTGACTACACCAATGGCAGGGCCACCACCTGTTGCGTCATGCTGATCTTGGCTGCCCCCATGGTGCGTAGAACCTCAAGGGCAAAGTGCGTGTGTGTCGTGGGCCGCTGAACCCTGCGCACGCCTGGGCATCACGCACACACCCGTCTCTTTGCGTGTGTACATCCCTGTGCACGGCCAGGGGAGGAGAAGCCAGGGTCAGCACAGGAAAGAGATCCAGACTGAGGATTTTGGAAAGGGATTCGTGGTTATTTGGCCTTGGTGAGAAGGGGGAGGCCAGCTGCTGAGCTTCTTGACCAAGGAAAGAATAAGTGATTGAGGTTCGATATGAGAGGAGACTTTGGGGGCAAAGGGAAATGATAGATTACCACGTATTAGACCCTGCATCCCTGGGACATGAAGACCGAGAGGCCTGGGTATGAGAAGGCAAAGGAGAAAGGGGACCCCTGGGGTTCCCAGACTTCCGGTCTCCAGTCTAACAGAGGCAGCCCGTGGGGAAGCCAGGCTGTGATCCTGTCTTCCCCTTTCTCCTCTCTCAGATGTTCCTGTACAACTACGTTGGCCAGAGTGGGATCAGCATCTCCATAGGTGAGGAGCTGGCGCTGCCTTGGGGACACCGCGAGGCTGGCTTGGGGACGTGGGTGGGAGGCTCGGGGAAGTGGAGGTTCTCAGCCTGACGCCTGGGGGACTCACCCGCTTTGGGGTTGGGGGTGGCGGTGCCCTCTCCTCTCTAACTGGGCCGTCTCCATCACCACGTCAGTAATGCTGCTCACCTGTGGAGCCCTGGTCAACGGTCCTTATGCCCTCATCACCACTGCTGTCTCGGCTGACCTGGTAAGCGGAGCCACCTCGGGGATTGGCCAGGGCCTCTGTCTCCAGGCACATCTTCACGTCTCTCCCCCTGCCCCCGCCCGCAGAGACGAGATCCTCAAAGTCCTTCAGAATCCGCCATCGGCCCCCCTTTCTTCCCAGCTCCAAGCCCCCCTCGCTGCCTTTCCCTGAGCCAGTCCCTCTCCTGGTCCCGGTCCCGGTCCTGCTCGGTGCCGCCTCTTGGTTCAGGCCTCCCCACTCTGCTCTCTCCCCAGGGGACTCACAAGAGCCTGAAGGGCAACGCAAAGGCGCTCTCCACTGTCACGGCCATCATCGACGGCACTGGATCCATAGGTCTGACTCTTGCTCTTGGCTCTCGGCAGCTGAGCCCCAAGCCTGGTCTCGGGCGCACTCTTGGGATGCTGCCCTCTTGCGGGCAGGGAGGGCCAGGGTCCCTGGTGCAGGGCCCTTCTCTCATGCTGTGCTCCACACAGGTGCGGCTCTGGGGCCTCTGCTGGCCGGGCTCATTTCCCCCACAGGCTGGAACAACGTCTTCTACATGCTCATCACTGCCGACATCCTGGCTTGCTTGGTAAGAGCTTTGGGGTGCACAGATGGGTATGGGGAGGGGCCCTGTCCTGCGGGGCTGGGACCCTGGAAAGTCCCGAAGTGTCCAAAGTGGTCCAAAGTGTTGGCCATCCAGGGCTTTGCTCGGAACCACTCTGCGTCCCGTGGGTGAACCCCTGCGGAGTGACACTGTGAGCCAGCCGAGCAGTCACCTAGAGCTGGGGACCAGCCACGTGCTGCACGCTGAGGTCGCCCTCCCTCCCCTCAGCTCCTCTGCCGGTTGGTGTACAAAGAGATCCTGGGCTGGAGGTCATCCCTGAGTAGAGACAGAGGGTAAGTCCTGCGGAGGGAGGGCCGGAGCCCCGCCTGCCCGGCCTCACTTCTCGCGGGAGTCAAATCCGGCGCTCAGCTGCTCTGCACCAGTCTGAGCCTCGCTCCAGCCCAGACCTCAGGAACTTGGAGCCGGAAGCTGAACGTGCTCCGGGAACCCCTGCCTGGCCCCCAGCCCCACTAACCTGTCCTCTGTTATCCCCATGTGTCTCCATAGCTCTAGTGTGGCCCTAACCCACGCGCGGTAGTATTTTCCTCAAGTCCCGTGACTTTTGTGAGTATTTTCTTCAAGTCTGTAACTACTGTGCCCTTAGAGTGCATGCAAAGCCTCTCTCCTCCAGTGCGATTTCTCTGACTTTCGCTTTTTCCTTGGGGGCCAGTTCCAAAGGCTCTGAGTCTGGACGCGGTGTGGTGCTTGGGAAGTGTTTCCTAAGGGGCCGGAGCTGCTGTGAAGGTTGGCAGCCTCTCCTCCTTAGGGAGAGCGATAGGGCTTTGGACGTAGACCCCAGGACAGAGGGGGCAGCATCCAGGGAAATCGTTTTCCCTCTGAACTTGGACTCTGAGCCGTCTGTGCCTCCCGAAGTTCAGAAGCCAAGGGCATCTGGCCCCTCTGCCTGGGGTGTGCGGACAAAAGCAGCTACCAAGCAAAGCCTCTGGAGCAAAACCCAAAGCTGGCCTGCTGTGCTCTCTGCCTGTTGCCCAGCAGTGGCGGGTGTGGGGGCCGCGCAGATAGGCCCGTGGCTGAGGCAGGGCGCTAGAGGCTGGGCTGCGCGGCTGGTGCTGGGGTTGGCAATGTTCTCTCGTGGCCTTTCTGGCTCTCCTTAGGAAGCTCTTGCTAATGAGAAGCTGCCGGAGCGATGGACCTGGTCTGGATGGTAAATGTGAGGAAGAGCCCACTGGGGTCATGGTAACCAGCACTGTATCTGGGGAAGAGCTTCCCTTTGAGGAAGGCATCGTCCGGGTTCAGGGGGAGAAGAATGCAGGGCAGGAGGCATTAACAGAGTCTGTGCCCTGCCCTGCCCTCTGGAGGGGGAGCAGTGGATGGCACCTCACGTGACCAGTGCCCCCTCCACCTGCTGTCCCCCGGCCAGGCCTGGGGGGACATTGGGAGGAGAGGAAGTGATGCAGAAAGGGAAAAGAATGGGTGCGTAGTAAGCGTCTGCTCTGGGGGTGAGCTGTACTGGCTTCCCTCTCAGCAGCCTTGAGAGGTAGATGTTCTCACTTAGAGGTGAGAGAACAGACGCTCGGAGCTCATGGAACATACCTCAGGCCTTTAGCTAGTCCCAGCAGAGCCTGAGTTTGACCCCAGGTGTGCGGGCTTGGCTTCTCTCTGCATCCTCAGCGGGTCCTTCTCTGAGGAAGGCCTGTGTGGGAGAAGCAGAGTCACTTGCTTGGGCAGAGGGAGCCTGGGGCTTGAAACCAGAAATGCTGGACAATCCTGACTTCTCTGCTCACCTGCTTCTGTAGAGCCTTGGGCACCTTCTCTGAATGTCCGCGTCCTTGTGTGTCAAATGGGGCTGCTCGTTTCTAAATACCTGGTAGGGCTGATCTCAGGCTGCGACAAGCTGGGTATGTGGTACTGCTTTGCAGAGTGGTCAAACGCGGTACAGGCATTGTAAGGTTTTTCACGTTATTCTGGCTTGGTGTTCCCTGCTTGCTGAAGAGGTGACAGGGAGCCCTAATGATAGCGAACGGGATGAAAGGCAATTATTAAGGGACCCTCGGGACCTGCCTTCCCCGTCCCCACCGTTGGGGACGTCCTCACTTTCTCTCCCATTGCCTCTCTGCTCCTCACGCAGGTATAGAGAAATGTGAGGACCCGATCGCAGCAGAAACTTGGAGGGCCCTCGCCGGGTCCCACAGTGCACCCCCCCAGGAGGCCGAGGCAAAGCCTCTGGGCCCAACACCAGCCAGCGCAGCCCACGAGGCTTCCACGGGCTAGGAGACTCTCCACTGGAAGGGGACCACCAAGCTTGAGGCCACGGAAGACTCAAGGGCCTTGTTGGAGGACGGAGGGGACGCAAAGTGCCCACTGAACTAAGGCACCTTGAGACCAAAAAATGAGGGGGCAGCTCCATGTGATCAAGACCAGTTTAGTATAGGGTCACTTACAGGGTGGGTTGGGGCTCGGGCTCAGGTGGACAGCGGTCTGGGAGCGCTCCACACCACCAGGGGTCCATCAGGACAGTTTTATAGTTAACCTGGGGCAGGGGGGCGGGTACTTGGAAACAGGACATGCATTCTTAAAATTTATGAATGGGTAACTAGTCTTGTGGCTGCCGGGAATACGTCAGGGGAGGTTTTCATCATTGTTTGGGGACTAACAGAGCATAGAGGCTGCCTGGTCCTAAAGATTATTAAACAATATCTATTAACTACAAAGCCCTTGATGACAGAGAAGTGATTTACCGCACAGTATACGGTCCTGGCTAGGGGGGCGGAAGGAGAGGAGGAGCTGTAAAGGCCCCGAAGGCATCAGTTGCAGCGACAGCGATAAAGGCCTGAGCTCTGGAGGCCGCCAGTGGAAGGGATCAGGGCTGAGTGGTGTCTGCATTTTGGTACAAGAAGGGATATGCTCAGACTCCTGCTTGTTCAGATTCCAAGTCAGAAGGCAGAGGTTCAGCAGGGCCGAGGCCTGGGAAAAGCGTGTCTCTCCTTCTCACGCTAAACGTGAACCTCTGTAATCAGCCTGTACCTAGAAGTGGCTATTTCAGAGCCACCCGGCCTCTCTTTGTCCCTTTGTCCACAAGCCAGCTTTCTCTGTGTGTTTCCCCACGTTGGCACTCCTCCATCTACCCTCCATTTGATCCTGTTTCTAACTCCTGACCCATTCTGATTAAAGCGTGATTGCTGTATCCTCCAGGGCAGGACTAGGGAGAGAGGGGAGGTGTCACTCCCGACTGTGAGGGCCCCTTGCCTGCTCTTGTCCCAGCCCTCTGTGTCCCCAGGGAAGATGGCTTGTCAGGGCAGTGCTGCTGTAGGGGAAGGGTGGGGCGGAGGGCATGACCAAAGTACCAGTCATGTTATTAAATATTTTGATAATGAAATGCCAGTGGTTACCGAGTGCTCACTGTTTGCCAGCTGTGCTCTAGGAATGGAGTAGGTAGTGGACACAGAAAAAGGACTGACACCCTAAGCACAGGCACTGGGGTGACGTGACTAGCAAGGTGGGAGGGTGCTGCTGGCTTCGTTCAGGCAGCTGTTACGTGTGCAGCTCGCAGCCCCCTGCAGCTGGCCTCTCCCGCGTGTTCTGGCTGCCCCAAACCCTTGGGTCTGCCAGCGCTTGGCATTTCTGTCTGCCCTCTGAAGCTGCCCATTAAGCCCCGATATAGATGTCGCCAGCTGTGCCTGTGCTCGTCCTGTCAGGGCTCATGTGGGCCGCTGAGGCAGCATCCCAGGGCCACAGGGTGGTGTGCTGGGGAGCTGACAACTGGCGTGCCCAGAGGACGCAGTCGTGAGGACACCGGGACCCGCGGGCGAGCCTGTGGGCAGTTCATGGGCGGGATACAAATCCCTCCAAGCTGAGACAGGTTATACACACGCCAATGGTGACAAATAGCAAGTCTCAAAGTGCCCGAGACCCACTCTGGCTTTAAAAGCAGGAGTCAGTTGGGATGTCAAAGTCCTCAGGCCCCCAGGGCGGAGCTGCAGCTCAGGTTCAAGAATGCGTCTCTCAAGATCAGGTTTACCTGGGGCTTCCCTGGTGGCGCAGTGGTTAAGAATCCGCCTGCCATTGCAGGGGATGTGGGTTCGAGCCCTGGTCTGGGAAGATCCCACATGCCACGGAGCAAGCCTGTGCGCCACGACTGAGCCCGCGTGCCTAGAGCCCGTGCTCCACAACAAGAGAGCTCACGCACTGCAATGAAGAGTAGCCCCCCGCTCACCGCAACTAGAGAAAGCCTGCGCGCAGCAACAAAGACCCAACGCAGCCAAAAATAAACAAAACAAAACAAAAAGATCGGGTTTAGCTGCCAGCAGCACTCAGGGAAGCCACTAGATGGCGCCATCATCCCACGGTAGAGCCCGTGCCTGGGCTCCCTTTCTGCTTCCTGCAGGGAGACAGGTTCCCTCGCCCACCGCTTCTGGGGCAGTGTTGGCAGGGTGTTGTCCCTCCCTGGGCGCTCACTCTGGAGGTCTCCTTCTCAGCCTCACCACTGATGGCTTCGAGCCTTTTCCTCATTAGAAAACAGTAATGACGTTACCTCCCTCAGAGGATCGCTATGAATCAGGGAGACAAGTCAGTGTCAATGCACGCCCCGCCCTCAGGGGCTTGTTTAGTTAGGGGATAAGACAGGAACAGGGAAACGTTTAAACGATGCGAGAAAAAACACCAGGGTAGGTGACTCAAGTTGAGAGACTTCACCGTCCACTCGTCCAGCCTTGAAGGGCCAGGGCTGGCAGGAGGGCAATCCTAGTGGCAATGGAGGAACAAATGTGACCATCCAGAAAGAAGAATGAACAGGAAGGAAGTGAAAACGGACGCGTATCAAGCCCCTAAATGTGTTAGGCCCAGGGACTGGAAAATGAACAGACATTCTCTGGTGCCAGCGGCTCAGTGTGGCGCTAGGGAGATGCACAGGGCGTGTGGGAGCTCGGGGCCGGCCTCAGAAATGAAGGCTGGGTGTAGGTAGGAGTCCGGGGCCCCGGGCCCTGACATCGGTCCTTGCACACCTGGGTCCCAGGCCCAGGATCCCTGCCCCGCAACCCCTCTCTGCAGCTCTGGGCACTGACTGTCCCTGGAGGCCCAGGACCTGCCCCCTCTCTGGGCCTCGGCACTCACTTGGGGCTAATGCATGAGCGTTACGTTAATTAGTTATTCATTTAATTTAACTTCACATTTGGTCTCAATTAAGCTTAAAGTGTTCTTCCTTATAGATGTTACAATAGCACTTGTAATTAAAAAGCAATATCTCTTTGCATGTCTCCTTTAGAGATCCATTGGGAGGCTGGGCTAGTGAGGGGGTGGGGAGAAGCCAAGAAAAGGAAAGCGGCTCTTGGTGGATCTCAGCACTGGGAGGCGGCCACTATGAGTGAAGTCGGGGGAAGTTATCAACACATCATGGGTGTCGGGTGGGCACCCTGAGAACTGGATAGTGGCACTGGAGCTAATGGGGCAGGTCTCATGCATGAAGGCGTGGGGTACGGAGAGGATGGAAGAGGGAAGGTAGAAGGAGGCAGTCCTTAGAGGCGGAAGAGGGGCCGATATGCTGGGGTAGGCAGAATAATGCCCCTCCTCCAGAGGGGTCCACAGCCTAGCTGCCAGGACCGGTGAATGCTATCTTACATGGCAAATGAGACCTGGCAGATGTGGTTAAGGACCGCTCCTTACAAATCAGAGGGGGAGGCAAGAGTGTCAGGTATCAGATTAGAAGATGCTGGCTTAGAAATTTTTTTTTTTAATTTTTAAATTTAAAATTTTTGACTGCCACGGAGTGACGTGCCGGGATCTTAGTTCCCCGACCAGAGACTGAACCTGTGTCCTCAGGTTCAGTGAAAGCGGCGAGTCCTAACCACTGGACTGTCAGAAGATGCTGGCTTTGAAGATGGATGCAGGGCCAAGGAATACGGGCAGCCTCCAGAGGCTGGAAAAGACAAGGAAACAGGATTCTCCCCTAGAGCCTCCCAAACCTTGATTTTAACCTCGTGAAACCCATTTTAGATTTCTGGCCTCCAGAACTATAATACATTGGTATTCTTCTAAACTGCTAAGTTTGTGGTAATTTGTTATAGCAGCAATAGAAAACTATTACATGTTCCCAGTGTAAAATGGGGCCAACATCAATATGAAGACAGCAAGACCAAAGAAATCTGCAAAGATTTAAAAAAAAAAAAAAGTGGAGAGGATGGCCGTGGAGCATTTGGATACCATATAGATGCCACATGTGTAACTACCCCAAGTTCCCTGAAGGCAGGACCTGGGCTAAATGTACACCCTTTACAATATCCAACGTGTGTGAGGAAAACCAGAAAAATGAACTTTCTCATTCCGTCTGTGGTGCCGGGCCCCAGCTTTGATCCTTGCTGTCATTTCTTAGGTCCCAGGAAACTGAGGCAGGAGGGTGTGTGTTGAGTAGGCTGGGAGTGGGGGGACTGGGAAATTTTTTGTTTTTCCTTGAGTAAACAGCAACCAATGTGGTCTGCTAGAGACAGAGATCGAGAAACAAACACACATTCTTGGCTTGTGGCTCTGATTCTTCCACTGGCACCTCTGAAAACCAACCCAAGTACCAAACTTTCTGGGCAGACAGAGCTGAAGAGAGAGCTTGCCGCGTATATCCTTGATACTCAGTCCACAAGCCGCTCCCCTGGTATCTCTAAGCAAAGTCTCACAGCACAGAAACCACCCCCCCCCACCCCGAAACCAGACGTGATCAGTGAGGCTGTCCCTGAGGTCCACGTGGCTCCTAACTGTATTGCCCTGGATTCCTGGCCAATTCCTAAGATTCTGGATTTTCCTCTAGATTCAACTGCTTCTCCTTGGTATTCCTTGGTCCCTCCTTTTCCTTTGTTTTCATCTTATGGAGCAACATGATGTAAGGAAGTGAAGAACTGGGGCTGCCTGAGTTCAGGTCCTGAGTCCTGTTTAACCCCTAGCTGAGTGACCTCAAGCAAACCCCTTCACCCCTCTGTGCCTGTTCCCCATCTGTGAAATGGGGGTATTAAGAGCACTTGTTTCACAGGGTTGCTATAAGGATTACATAAGCTAATACTTAAGAAGGCACTTAGAAAAGTGCCTCGTACGTGTTTGTTCAATACAATAAAAATTGTGATCTCAGCAAGCAAAGAATAGAATATTCCGAAGTATTGCGTTGGAAATAGAGATGAAAGATTGAACTCCATGGACTACAGCATCCCTTCCAATCCTGAGCTTTTATGCTCCCGCGAGGATAATCAGCACTTCTCCAGACTCATTTCCATGCGGTTCCCATTCCCGTGTCTGGAAACTTGCTCCTATGTAATAAGAGCCAAATACTTGAAGCTTTATGCCAAGAAGTCATGATAAAATGCTTTTTATTTGTACCATAAATGTTAATTAGGAATTCTTTAATGAAACGTTTACATTTTTTGGATACGGGTCAGGGCAATGGTGGGTACACATAGCTAAGAAATAGTGTTAGCCAATGTAAAAATAAGAAGTTGTTCGAAAGCCAAAACGGATCCTTAAAACCATCGGAGAAATGAAATGTCAGGATCCCGATGCAAAGTGTGAGCCTCACTACTAACAAGCTGGGCAACTTTTAAATTTTTATTTATTTACTTATTTTTGGCTGCGTTGGGTCTTTGTTGCTGCGCGCGGGCTTTCTCTAGTTGCGGCGAGCGGGGGCTACTCTTGGTTGCGGTGTGCGGGCTTCTCATTGCAGTGGCATGAGAAGTGGGCTCTAGGCATGCAGGCTTCAGTACTTGTGGCACGTGGGCTCAGTAGTTGTGGCTCACGGGCTCTAGACCGCAGGCTCAGTAGTTGTGGCGCACGGGCTTAGTTGCTCCGCGGCACGTGGGATCTTCCCGGACCAGGGCTCGAAGCCGTGTCCCCTGAATTGGCAGGCGGATTCTTCTTAACCACTGCGCCACCAGGGAAGCCCCTGGGCAACTTTTTAAACCCCTGTATCTCTCTGCCTGTCTCTCATCTGTGAAATAATTGCAGCAGGTTTCTTTACACATGAATAAAAATCAAAGCAAAACAAAACCCTTCAACTGCAGCAGCAACAGGATAGAGCTGACAGAAAAGTTGATGTCTTAGAGAACAGATCAAGAAATGGATTACTTTATGTTAGAATAAAAACATTTAAAAGTGATTTGGATCCCTTCATCCCAGGATGGAGTGAGGAAGACAGCCTGGATGCCTCAGAGCCTCATTCTGGGATGGATTTACTCCACCAGGACCGTGCTTCACACTCAGTGGGAGCACAGTCAATGCTGAGTGAGTGCCGACACCTGCTGTGTGCAGCATGCATGAATGGCAGTGCATTCCCTAGCAACTGAACAGCGTACAATAATTCTGATGAATTCTTAGATTAAATATCCGATACCATGCATCAGGAAAGAATGTTAGCTTTACTTCTGTTTTACCAGTGAGAAATAAAAGGAACTTGTCAAAAAAATTACGAAGTGTGTTCTGCCGGCTCGCGACAGCGCCACCTAGTGGATCAGAGAAACGACTCCGCTGTGAACGTTGTGGCGTCCTGCTCATGTGGTTTTCGTCAGGATGCAATTTTAAGAGGCTGTGAAATAACCTGTCTTCTTATATGGAAGCCCTGATTCACTCTCCCTCCCCCACTTCCAGACAGTGGGATCACCACAGTCTCTTTGCCACGGGATCCCCTCTGGGTGGCACCACCTGTGCTAAGGCCATTGATCAAAGAAGGATGAATGGGGCCCTGAGATGATTTGTTTGTATTTAAAGGATGCCCTCTAAGCCCTGTCCCCAGGAAGGCCGTGAGCACAAGGGGTGCCATATTAGCCACTGATTATCGGGGTCCCCCATGTAGAACTCAGTGAAATTCATTTTGTCCTCCCAGACTTCTACTTCTTATCCCAACCCTGTGAGGGTTGTTTTCAGGGTTGGACATGACTTCGTGGCGTATGAAGGTAGAAGGTGACCCATCATTCATGTCACCACTGCTGGTAGTTACAGGATCTACAGAAGGCAGGCTAAACTAAAATACGCTTTGTACGAAGCATATTTTTGCCCTTAACACACAAGCCTGTCATTTACATCTGTGTTAAAAAAAAAAAAAAAAAAAGATTAGTGTGCTACTGGCATTATAGCAGGCACTCAATCAAGTTCTTATTCCAGCTCGTTTTCTGGTTCTTAATTTTAAGCCAGAAAGTCCTTCTTCAAATAGCTCTAGGGAGCCAGGATAAGACTTCCAAAATGGAACCAGCCTAGAGCCCCTCTAGTTACTAACAAATTTCACTTGGTCTGGGGGCTTAGGTATAAAGTTATACCTAAGCCTGGGCATATACATTCCTCACCAGCTTTGGAGAAAGAGCTACGAAGATGAAAGAGATGACAGTAACCCCAAGTGGACTCTTATGGTAACCAAATAAGGCGACAAAGGCCACCAAACCCTGGAAGCAAAAGAATCCAGAGAGACAGAGCAGCAGGACACACAACTGGCATTTCCATACCCCGCCTCTAATCCCCGAGTAAACCTGAAATATAGCAATGCGAGGTTTAGAAGGCTGTGGCCAGGAGTTCGAGGTGAAAGCCAGTCCTTTAGCTGCTGTTGCTTGCTTTCTTGGAGCAGCGGGAAGCGACACCGTGGCCTCTGTGGAGCCCGGTGATAACCGGGGCCTGGATACGTCTCCAGGTCATTACACTGAAATAACCTTTTGAACTTTGATTGTCTTTCTTTCCCAAATGATCTTGACCTCGTAACTAACAATTTTTCATAGTATCAAAAAGGACCAAGTTCTTCCGTCGATTTGACAGCAGAAGCCAAAGTGCCCCTTTTCCCAAAATTCATTTACTGAAGTCTTCATTGAAAACCTACTCTAAGCAGATCCCTGTTGCTATTTCCTTTTCAAAAGAGATGGAAAATCTGAGGTACAGGTGCTAAGAAGATGGCAATATCCCTCTTAAGCTGGTGAGAATCTCTCCCCAGGGGCAATTTTGCAACCCTGTTTCTGGAAGCCAGGACTCAAGGGATTTGTCTTAGTGATGAAGAGATGATCCTCCGATCTTTAGGCAGGAAGGCTGTCAAAACAAGACTCCAAACAATACCTTTCTGCTCATCAATGACATCAAAGCGAGGGAAGGAACAGGGTCTTGGTTTTCCTGAAGATGGCTCAGTGGGACCGCAGTGGTTTGGCATAGATTGGCTCCACGATGTGATGGATTAGAACCAAGAAAAGGCTCCCAAGGAAGACAAGAGTGATGAAAGCCAGCAGGACATAGCGGCCAATGAAAAAGGCATCTACAATCTGGAGAAAGAAACATCAAAAACGAAATTACTGTCACTTCCGCACTCTGGCTGTGCTCATCTGTAATCTCTGATGAATGGGCCCAGAGTCTGTCCATATTTGTAACTTACAGTAACATCCTGCCCTGAGTCTACCCTGCAAATGGATAAGAAAGAACCTTTTTTCAACGTGCTGAGCCAGAAATACAAGATAAAGAGAGTCTTAATGAAGTCCAGGGAACAAATGGCTCCATGTAGGAGGTTCACAAACACTCTGAAGACCCTGGACAAGTCCTTTTCTGTTCTGAAATCAGTTCTCGGAAAGAGTTAATGAGAAGTTTGCTTGCTTGGTCTCTGAAAGGCTCATTAGGTGGCTGTCAACTTTTCATCATGGAGAATTTTAAACATACATAAAGATACGATAGTATAATAAACCCCACACACCCAGGACCCAAGCCCTCACATCATCAACCCATTGCCAACTCAGGAGATGTCATTTTCAAAATGAAAAGGCGACTCTAACACTTTCATCAGAAGAGTTCTGAACCCTAAAATTCGTAACCCAGCATTCCAAGGGTTGGGGGAAATAGTCATTTTCCTGAGATACTGAAACACGAAGAGGAGAGATAACTTGCCCCAATTCGTACAGTTGGCTGCTTGGCAACCAGTTGTACTTGAGGTCCCGAAACTGTTGGTCTTTGCTGACATAAACCTATGATTGGTATTGGCCCTACCTGCTTGTCTACTGTTCACAGCCAGAGCTCTGTTTTCCTCAGATCCAAACGGTGCTGCTTAAGTCCGGGCAGGAAAAAGCAGTTTAATCTACAGACTTAAGGGAGAAGCAGCACAAACCAAGTGACTGGGGACTTCACAACTTCCGGAAGCTTTCAGAACCCAGCACCTGAAGAGAACCCAAAATACCTGAAGGGCGACTGTGGTTGACAGAATAATGGCCCTAAAATGTCCACATCCTCATCTCCAGAAAGTCCAAATATGTTAAATTACACGACAAAGGAGAACTAAGGCTGTAGATGGAATTAAGGTTGCTAACGAGCTGACCTTAAAATAGGGAGATTGGCCTGAACTGTCCACTACAGGTGGCCCAATGTAATCACAAGGGTCCTTAGAAGTGGTGGAGGGATGCAGGAGACAGGGTCAGAGAGAAGGATGTGAGGACGGAGGCAGAGTCAGAGAGACGTTACTTTGCTGGCTCTGAAGATGGAGCAACCCCTTGATTTTAGCCCAGTGAGGCTAATTTGGGGCTTCTAATCTACGGAACTATATAAGATAGTAAATTTGTGTTGTAAGCCACTAATTTCGTGGTAATTTGTTACAGCAGCAGTAGGTAACTAATACAGTGGCGATACACAAAGCACCTGTCAAGTCCGAGCTCTGCTGTGATCCCTGAGTTCCAAAGACACCAAGAAGGAAAGGGCTGCTCCAGAGATTACCCTGACAGCCAACTTACAACAAAGGTCAGCTTGATGAAACAGCTTTAACATAACCTTGACCCTGGCTCCAGGACTGAACAAGTCTCTCGCGAGCTGCATGTTTGCTGGTTCGACAGGGTTCACTTTTTAATTAGCCAATTAGCAGGCCTTGGGTGAGCAGGGCCCAGGCCATGTATTATTGATACAGTATTGAGCCAAGCTGCTGAAGGGGCTGGTGCTCGAAACCTGGAAATGAGATCCTGCTGGCCATGCTGACGAACTTATTTTGCTCAAAGCCCATTCTGCTCTCCTGGGTCTGAAGCTCATATGACAGAGGAAAGAGGGATTGATTTCGAAACAGTGTTTACTCTGTGCCCTTCTTCCAACGTTCACATCCGCAGCGATCCAGAAGTGCGCAGCCTTCCCCGCTCTCCGCATTTTAGACAGGAAAACCAGGGTGGGAGTCTGCGCCCCAGCTCACACACAGTCCTGACACAGCCAGAGTGGTTTCCAAATGGTGACCGGAAAAAACCTGGCATGTATGAAAATAATTCCTCAGTTTTGTGTGGTAAGTATTATTTCCCTTGGAATTTTCAGAAAGAATTTCCTCCCTTTTGCCATGGTCAGTCCTAGATAGAACTGGAAATGTGTGCCGATTTTAGTTCAGGAGTTATATCATTTTGTGTAGTCTAGTGTCTAGTGTCAAAATAGTCACCTCTGCACTTGCTGCGAAGGCCCCCAATATTCTGTGGAGTCCCCAACAATGAAGGTTTTGAAGACGGACCTCAGCTTGAATCCTTGCTCTGCCTCTTCCTATACATGTATGATCTTGGGCAAGTTACCCTAACCCCTTCCAGCCTCGGCATCCTTACCTATGAACTGGGGACACTAACAGCACCTGTGTCATACCACTTAGGGCTGTCCTGAGGTTTAAATGAGAGCTTGTAAATAACAGGCTTAGCACAGGACCTGGCACACAGCGATGCCTTAAAAAACGTTAGCTGTTATCACCGTGACAGCTTAAAAACTAAAACAGAGGAAAGAAGCTGCTCGAAAAAGTAATGGGACACAGGAAGTCAATACTGTGATCAAGATCGTGGGGACCTGAGACCAGCTCTGTACGGCAAAGCCAGAGCCCCAGTCAGGAATGAACCAGAATGGGTGGGGTCTGGGAGAGATGATAAAAATCCACGTAGACAGGTAGGTGCTGGGAGATGTGGTTCTAGAAACGAGGACCAAAGGGGCCTCCCCAAAGGCTGTTAGTATTAAACGCACCAACCTCTACAACTTCCGCTTTCCAGAGAAGCACCCCTCCTTCCTCACTGCTCTTCTCTACGGACAGTGCTCGCTCCACGCCACAAGTGGAAAAACGCAAACACACGGAGGTGAAAAAGCATGTCGTTCAGCACCGGAGAGCACTGCCTAAGTGCTGCCCGGGATGCGAGTTTCTGAGCCAAGGCCAGCAGGAGTGGGAGCCTCTTACTCAGGACAGGCTCTTCACGAGGTGGCTTCTGGGCTTACGGCTCGTTCCACTTGATGCAAACTGGAGACGAGAACAGATTAGGCAAATAGCTGCCCGGGGGTGTCGCAAGGGGGCATCGGAAGAACTGTCTCTTCCTGGGGGAGGGGGGAGGGGGTTAAAACTCCCTCTGAGCTCCCCGCATCCTGGTTTCAACTTTACAATTTTTCTAACACACTTCGGCCCTCCTGGCATCAGGGACCATGTGGGGCAGGATGGAGGTCCAGAGCAAAAGAAGAGACACAACTCAGGATGCAAAACAAAACCCATGGTTTTACCTTCATCTCAGCCTCAGGGGCTGGGAATTCACTGGCTCGGGGGAAGAGCAACAGAACCGCAGTGATAGTCAGAGCACCGAGGAACACGAAAATGACGGAGAACCTGGGAGTGAAAGACAGAGGGTTAAAAGCACTGTTCAGTCTCCTCTCTATTCAGCTAGGCCGGGGCTGGCTCTTCCCTGGGCGGATATCCTGTTTCAGTCCATTAACAGGGCCCAGCGTGCTGCCCACACCGCCCAGGGAATTTAGAAATGTTTTCCCCTTCATCCCCAAACCCTTCTTCCCAGACAGGTACCAGCGGGATGCGTTCCTGTTTATTCCTGGGAACTCCAAATTCCTAAGAATGGGAATTGGTAGTTTTTATCTTTGCCTCTGTGCAGTCATGATCAGGAAAAAGCGAAGCAGCTCATCCCCCAAGTGCTGTGTTTTAAACCAGAAAACTTTAGTAAATGATGTAACTTGCTGATTTGTACCTACACTGTCTGGCCAGGGAGTGTGACTCCATGGTGACCTTAGAGTCAGTTTATGGCCTGATTCTTTCTTAAGTCAATGCCAGCCCAAGTCACCTAGGACTCTTCAGCGTCCCAGGGCCCAGGTCTGGAGCCTTAGGGGCTGGACCCAGTGCCTGCTGTAAATCTCAACAATTAAGAAACACGCACACATACAACCCCAAGAAACTCAACAGGCACCGAAAGCGGATTCTCTTTCCATCCCCTGTGTCCCCACCTCCTCAACACTGAGAGCTGACAGATACCACTCCCCTTCTCCTCCCACCTCTGCTTCCGAGCATAAATAACAGTTAGTCCTTATGATGACGTGAAAATGCAACTCATTCAAACTGCCAGTAATTACAACAATGAGCTTCTGAATTCTAAACGTTTCATGAGCATCAGCGATTGCACTTCTAATTGCTTTTACCTGGGACTCCTGGCTGGAGAGAAGGCCTTACCTAGCTATACCTGAGGCTCTGGATAGCAGCAGACACAGCAGCAGCACTGACACCCAGAGCAGGGCGAGGATGAACACGCCAGCCCCCACGCCCAGCACGGTGCCAGCCATGCAGGGGGGGGGGCAGCTGAGAGCTGCAGGCCTGGACCCCCCGGCCCGATGAGCTGTCTGTCCCTGGTGTGTGGGTACCGCCAGGCTTCCGTGCGCTCCTGGGTTTCCTGGTGGGCGGTCAAACACAGAAAGTCCCAATTCATTCTGGGGAATTTTTTTTTTTTTTTTTTTTTTTTTTGGCGGTATGCGGGCCTCTCACTGCTGTAGCCTCTCCCGTTGCGGAGCACAGGCTCCGGACGCGCAGGTTCAGCGGCCATGGCTCACGGGCCCAGCCGCTCCGCGGCATGTGGGATCTTCCCGAACCGGGGCACGAACCCGCATCCCCTGCAACGGCAGGCGGACTCTCAACCACTGCGCCACCAGGGGAGCCCCCATTCTGGGGAATTTTTGATGATTGCTGTGGTAGGAAGATTCGTCAATACAGGTCTTTGGGAATGTCGAGTCCCTTAATAGGAACTAAAAATTTAGAACCCAAACCTTTCTCTTTGGTGAGGACTGAGAAGCTGCTTTCTGCTCCATGTGGGTCATTTCAAATTCGGAATCTGAGTTTGTCTTCCCACAACCCACAAGCTGGATTCTCCCTTAATACAAAACCCTAACCGAGAGCTGTAAAAGGTACCAGGACCTGAGGGCTCCAGGGCCCACGAGAAGTCGTAGCTCTCGGGTTATGTCTGTGGTGCGAGCTGTGAATCACAAGACAGAACTCCTAATCCTTGGAGAAGAAGAGGCCTCACTGTTTCTGAACATTCACTTGTGCTAAGTACCTTACAAATATAGCTCATTCAATCCTGGCAATAAGCTTCTGAGGTCAGTATTATATGCTCGTTACAGAAGACGTAACTGAGGTATAACGTGATGGGACAGTACTAGCAAACCCGGTGGCTTAGAACAGACAGTTATACTCTCACAGTTCTGGAGGCCAGAATTCTGAAATTAATGTGTCAGCCAGGTCACGCTTCTTTCCAAAGGCTCTAAGAGAGAATTCTTCCTGCCTCTTCCAGCTCCTGGCGGCCCCAGGTGTTCCTTGGCTTGTGGCTGCATCACTGCAATCTCTGCCTCTGTCTTCACATGGCCTCCCCTGTGTCTCTGTCTTCTTCCTGTCCCATCTCTTATGGGGACACTTGTCATTGGATTTAGTTCCACCCAAATGATCCATCATGATCTCATCTCAACATCCTTAACTTAATTGCATCTGCAAAGACCCATTTTCCAAATAAGCCTGTCCCATTCACAGGTTCCAGGGGTTAAGATGTGGACATATCTTTCTTGGGGCCACCATTCAACCCACTCCAGGGTAACACCATATAGTACCTCCCCTGATTTTCCCTTTCAGTATCAGAGGCAAAGCCTTAAGCAAACAATTTCCTCCTCAGGCTGATGGTTTTCTTTACCCTAATGGCTTAAATACCACAAAAATGATTACCTATGAGAATTTCTGTTATAAAGATTTTGGAAAGTAAGTCCTAAGCATGAACTGCTAACCAACAAAACCCCACATATATTCACTCAACATTTATTTATTTATTTATTTATTTAATTTATTTTTTTGGCCACGCGGAGAGGCATGTGGGATCTTAGTTCCCCAACCAGGGATCGAACCCGCGCCCCCTGCATTGGAAGCGTGGGGTGTTAACCACTGGACTGCCAGGGAAGTCCCAGTCAACATTTATTTTGCACCTACCTTGTAGAGCATTGCTACAAGCTGGGGATCACAAGGTAAACGAGACATTTCTTCTGACAGAAGCTTAAGGCCTAAACACTGTTATGCAGACAGCTTGCCATTCTGATCAGTAGGGAAACAAGGTGCAATGGGGATCGAGATGCGAGAAGGGCTTTACAAAGGAGGTGACTCTGCCTGGGCCCATTTGGGAGAGAACCATGGCCAGAGGACAGAGTAAGGGAGAGGTGGGCAGAGAGGCCTGGCAGCAGATGGGCGTGGCCCCCTTGCCCATTCTCCCCTCATTAGACACAGGGGTGTCGGGTGTCCTCAGTAACTCAATATGCCAAGGGTTTTCCCATCTCTGGGTCCTTGTGCCTGCTGTTTCCACTACCTGGAATGAACCCCTGGCCCCAAAGAAGCCGTCTACCATTTGCAGGGCTGGCTCCTCCTCATCCTTCTGACCCAGCTTTAAACACAGCGTCCTCAGAGCGGTCTTCCCTGACCATCCTAGCTAAAGAAACCCACATTCACTCTAGTTCCTTCAGAGGGCACTTCACAAACTGTAGTTCACATTCTGATTTATTGTTCACAGGTTTACTTTCTGTCTCTCCAGCTAGAATAGTAAACTCCAGGAGGGCAGAGACTTTGTATCTTGCTCACTACAGTCTCGCCGGTTCTTTTCTACAGAGGTTGTAAGTAATAGGTATTTGTTGGATGAATACATGAAGCAGTGCTAACAAGCCCACAAAAGTCCAATGAAGGAGTGATGGGATCGTATCTAATTTTAGAGAAAGATGACTGTGGCTTCTGGTCAATATGCTGGACAGAGCTGACACGGGAATTACCCCACATAACAGCAAACACATAGAAAGGCTTAATAAAATAGATGAAAAGAATTTAATACACAGCGCAGCTTGAAAGCAATAAAGGGAAATCCTTAAGTACTATAAACAAAAATGTAACTCAAAGCCTGGATAGTAAGCAGGAGCTGAGCCCAAAGACCTGCAGGGGTCCTGGAACCAGGTGCAAACCTTAGGAGTGGTCCTTTCCTCGACAGGTGAGGCCTCAGACCCATGATACAGAGAACTAGAACTGAGAACAAGGTATAAAAATGGGCTCTGTAAGGGCTCAGCTGTCTTTGAAACAGGGACTAAAAAATTTGATGCTGACGTGGCTGGAAGAAAGCGGGCCAAGTACCTGAGCCCATGGGTGAAAAAAGAACAACCCAAGAGAAATCTGCATCCCAATCCGTCATCACATGCGGGAGAGGGGTTCGGATCACACTAGCACTGAGGTGTGGGAATCCCAAGTAGTAAGAGAAACATGAAAACTACATGAACAGTGAGAAGCCCATAGGATCCCAGCATAGACAAATGGAAACCTCTCTGGAGGGAGGTCAGCATGCAAGGTTCCCACTGGAGTGAGTGTAAAATAGAGGTTTTCAGACATACAGAGACTGGAATGGAGTTCACCTCTCATAGATATACTTCACCAAGAAGGAAAATGAACTAAGAAAGAAGGTGTGAGATGTAAGGAGGAAAGGTGAGAAAAATATTAGTAAATACTGACAGTAAAGACTTCTTTAATGATAAGGACTAATTTCTTGATGAGTTAAAAACAAGGAAGAATTAAAATATTTGTCGACAAGTGGAAGGTGAGAAAGGACAGCTCAAAGTTAAATCATTCCATAGTTATTATTTTGCTCTGAGGAGGTGAGAGTTAATGATTTTACCTATAGGCTTTGTTAAGCTAAATATGCATGTTAAACACCAGATAGCATAAACAGGATGAATAACTTCCATACTAGTAGAGTGAGAAAAATAAAGGAAGAAAGCAGAAGGCAGGAGTGGAAAGAAACAAAGGAAAATACAGAATAAGACTGTAAAAATAAGCCCAAATATAACCGTAATCATAGTAAATGTAAGCAGATTACACTTGACTGTTAAAAGAGATTCTTATATTAGACTCTTTTTCGAACAGCTCTTTATAAAAGCTGTGCAGAAAGCATAATGAGAGAGAGGCTGAAAATAAAGAGAGTGAAAAAGACATACAAAGTAAATACTACCAAAACAAAAAGAGGGGAAAAGGGGAATTGTTCAATGGATACAGAGTTTCAGTTGTGCAAGATGAAAAAGTTCTAGAGATCTGTTGCACAACGATGTGAATATACTTAACACTGCTGAACACTCAAAAATTGTTAAGGTAGTAAATTTTATATATGTGTTTTTTACCACAATTACCAAAAAAAGAGAAAAAAACAAACAAAATAAAACAAAATACAGTCTGGTAAAGCAATATCAGTATCAAGCAAAACAGAATGTAAAGCTTTGAAAAATATTAATAACAACAGTCACAAAGGGAATAATTTAACAAAAAAATACAACTCAAAACACATGAACCTAAAACAAAGCCTCAAAACATATAAAGCCAAAACTGAATCACCGCAATAAATGGAAAAGCCCACAAATTTTGTGCAAGATTTTAAAATACCTCTCTCAGAAACTGATAGATCAAGCAGCTAAGAATAAACACTTGACAAGGAGGATATACAAATGGCCAACAAATATGTGAAAAGGTGCCCAACTTCATTAGTCATCAGGAAATTGCAAATGAAAACCAAAATGCAGTACCTCTAGACACCTACCAGAACGGCTAAAATGAAAATGACAGATAACACCAAGTGTTGACAAAGATGTGGAGTAACTGGAACCCTCATACCCTGCTGGTGAGAGTCTACCAGTAGACTACCAGTAGTTGTTACCACCGCTTTTGAGACTCTTTGGTAATATCTAATAAAGCTGAATAATCGTGAACCCTAGACCCAGCTCTTCTCTTCCTGGGTGTGTCCCCAACAGACACATACACATAAGTTCACTAAAAGACATGTACAAAAGTTCAACGCAGCCATATCTGAAATAGTTAAAAACTGAAACAACCTGGGCTTCCCTGGTGGCGCAGTGGTTGGGAGTCCGCCTGCCAATTCAGGGGACACGGGTTCGTGCCCCAGTCCAGGAAGATCCCGCATGCCACAGAGCGTCTGGGCCCGTGAGCCACGGCCGCTGAGGCTGTGCGTCCGGAGCCTGTGCTCCGCAACGGGAAAGGCCACAGCAGTGAGAGGCCCGCGTACCGCAAAAAAAAAAAACAAAACTGAAATGACCTAAATATCCATCAGTCGAATAGATAAAGTGTGGTATTATACATACAAGCTCTTCATTCATACAATGAAATAGTAGAAAGCAGCAAAAATGAACAAACTACAACTATACCCAGCAATGTGGGTGAGTTTTTCAAATATTGAGTGTAAAAAGCTAAAGGCAAAGGAGTTCATACTGTATAATTCCACATATATAACGTTTAAAAACAGGTCAAACTAATTTTGGGGTTAGGAGTCAGGAGTGTGGTTACCTTGTAGAAAGTAGTGACTGGAGGGGGTCTGAAGAGGTTCTGGGGTGCTTATGAAATTTTGTTTCTTCATCTGGGTGTTGGTTACATGGCTTTGTTAATTCTGTTAAATTTTATCTAGCTGTACACTTCTGATTTGCATATTTTTCGGTATGTGTGTTATACCTTTTTTTTTTTTTTCCAAAAAAGTTTACCTCAAAGAAAGTCTGAAGAGATATACCAGACAAATGCAATATATGGGCCTTGTTTGGGTCCTGATTCAAATAAACCAACTATACAAAATCTTTTATGAGATGACTGGGGAAATCTGAACAGTATCTGGATACTTGATGATATTAAGGAATTGCTGTTTATTTTTTAAATGAAAAATATACTTTTTAAAAAAATGTGGGGACTTCCCTGGTGGCACAGTGGTTGGGAATCCGCCTGCCAATGCAGGGGACACGGGTTTGAGCCCTGGTCCGGGAAAATCCCACGTGCCATGGAGCAACTAAGCCCATGCACCATAACTACTGAGCTTGCGCTCTAGAGCCTGTGAGCCACAACTACTGAGCCCGCGTACTGCAACTGCTGAGGCCCACCTGCTGCAACTACTGAAGCCAGTTCGCCTAGAGCTCGTGCTCCGCAACAAGAGAGGCCACTGCAATGAGAAGTCCATGCACCGCAACAAAGAGCAGCCTCCGCTCGCTGCAACTGGAGAAAGCCCACGCGCAGCAACGAAGACCCAGCGCAGCCAAAAATTAATAAGTAAATTAATTAATTAAAAAATGCGATGGTGTTGTGGTTATATTGCTAAAAGATTATTTCTGATATACAGGTACACACACACACGCACACCAGAGATAAGAGAAAACGATGTCTGGGAACTTTATAATTATTCAGGGGAGAGGAGAAGACGGGGGCTAATATGAAACAAGGCTGGTCATGAGTTAACTGTTGAAGCTGGGTGGCGAATACATGAATGTTTGCTATACTATTTTCTGTACTTCTGAATATATTTGAAACTTTTGTAATAAAAAGATGTGTGTATGAATAAGTATACATGTATAAGTAGGAATAAATCCAACAAAAGATGTGGCCTCTCACGTTGCGGAGCACAGGCTCCGGACGCGCAGTCTCAGCGGCCGTGGCTCACGGGCCTAGCCGCTCCACAGCATGTGGGATCTTCCCAGACCAGGGCACAAACCCGTGTCCCGTTCATCGGCAGGCGGACTCTCAACCACTGCGCCACCAGGGAAGCCCATGAAGATTTTTATAGCAAAAATTATAAAACTTTATTTGAAGATACATATTTTTAAAAGGTCTGAATAGAGAAATAACCCATGTTCCTGAATGGATGGGTTGGTTTAATATTGAAATATCTCAATTTTCCTTAATCTATCAGTTCAATGCAATTCTAACCAAAATCTCAAAGTAATTTTTTGTGGAACTTGAAAACTGATCCTAAATTCATATGGAAAAGCAAAAGCCCAAGAATAGCGAAAACAATTTTGAGAACAGGATGGAAACTTGCCTTTCGTGTTACCAACTGCTGCAAGACACGTTATAAAACCAAGGTAATTAAAACAGTGTGATAGTGGCATAAAGACACGTGAGCCAGTGGAATAAAACGGAGAACCCAGAAGCAGATCCATGCATTTATGAGAACTTTGCACAAGACAGAGTTGGCTTTATACTCAGTGGGTAGAGGATTTCATAGATAGTGTTGGGACAAGTGATTATCCAATCAGAAAAGAATAAAACCAGATCTCTACTTTATATCATATGCAGAAGCCAATTTTAAATGGAAAGTAATTCATAATAAAACAGCATATGTTTAAATATACAAATGTTCAGGCTGACTACACTAGAATACATAAGGAAGTAACGCACTCAGATGCTCGCACCTAAACTTAGAATCACCATGAACGCAAAAGCTACAAATGCTGGCTGATGCAGGTGTGTTATACGGCAACTCAAATACCACGAGCTGGGCTGCCTTCAGGTACGGGGTTTTCTAGAGTGATGAACAACTCTTGTTAAAAAGTTCCAAAAAAAATAAAAAATAAAAAAAAAAAAATAAAATAAAATAAAAAAAGTTCCAAACCACAAATAAGTATACTTTCCCCTTGATTTACATTAGAGTTGCATTCCTGGAAATTTTACTATATTAAACTGTGCCAAAAAATACATTATGTTTATACAAAAAATGGAGTTAGGTTCTAGGCTTATATTATAAATGAGTATCCTGTGAGACCCTCAAAAGTTGTGCAGGAGGAAGGACAGTTCTTTACTATGAGGGGCTGTCCAGTGTACTGCAGGACTTCTAACGTCCCCAGACCTTCTTTGTAAACCCTGGTAGTGTCCCCAAAATCACAATAATAACCAGAGGTGCCCTCACGAATTCCAAAATGACCAAAGGGGCATTACCATCCCCTTAAAGAACCATGGTCCTAGATAAACTCTGGCATAAAGAGACATGTAGAAGGGTGTTCATAATAGCAAAACATCTGAAAAAATCTAAATGTCCATCAGTAAGGGAATGGGTATTATATACTCAGAATGAACACTTAAAATGATGAACTTGAGCTAGCCTTATTGATATGAATGTATCTCAAAACAATATTGAGTCTAAAAGCAAGTTGCAAAATGAAGCCCACAGTACTATGCTACTTGTATCTTTAAAATTTTAAAAATACCTAAATAGCAACATACATATAGTTTATGAGCTACACATATACAGTAAACATAAACATGGGCATAAATGATGGAAAGCAATTTCAGAAGAGCGTTTGTCTCTGGGGAGGGAGGAAGGAAAGAGAATGAGCCCTGCTTAGAATCTGCAGGAATTAGGAGGTACTGACCCCAGTGCAGAAGCTGGCACTGGAGGGCTGCCTGCTGGGGGCCCGAGTGGTGTGTTTAAAGGACAACAGTCGCTATGCGCTTTCAAATCACAGAAGCACGCAGGAAAAAGGGTGGAAGGGTGTAATCCGGATACACTGCTCCCCATTTTCTGTCAGCGCGTTAACAGATGACGACACATCGATGGCATTTTGGTAGCGTGACAACTGATTTTTCCCAGACTTGCATTTTATTTCATTACAAAGGTAGAGGCATTATCCTAATATTTTAAAATTCAAACCTTATTGAAGTGTTTAAAGTAGAAAAAAAGTGTGCAAGTTACCCCCCGCCCAATTATCTTTGAAGGTTTGGAACAGCTATAAAGGAAAATGAAGAAGAATCTTCCAGAAGGGCAGTTCACTCCTGTAACCCAATGTTTTCTTTTTTCTTTCTTAAAGATTTATTTTTTATTGAGGTAACACTGGTTTATAACATTATATGTTTCATGTGTACAACATTATATTTCCTCTTCTATATGCCCTACTGTGTGTTCACCATCAAAAATTTAGTCTCCATCTGTCACCCTACATTTGATCCCCTTTACCCATTTTGCACCCTCCCCACCTCCCCCTCTGATAATCACTACTCTGTTCTCTGGATCTATGTCTTCTTCTTGTTTGGTTTGTTCATTTTTGTTTGTATATTCCACGTATGAGTGAAATCATATGATATTTGTCTTTCGCCATCTGATTTAAGCACTGGTAGGGACTTTGAGGATACAAAAGAAATGTGATGTCACTCTTGCCTTAATAGCCTGTGGTCTGTTAACATCAACAGCACATGAAACAATTAGGAAACACTAAAGAAAGATATGACAATGTGCCAAACTTAATTTATAGTTAATTTCCCAAAAGAATACGACTACTACTACATATCTGCAGGAGCACTGTCGTCTTCAGAGCGCTTCTTCACTTGTATTATTTGGGGGAAATATTGCTTTGGCTGGAGTTACTGTGGGTCTTCATGGTACAGCTAGAACTAATGCTGGGCCCTGGCATATGGGTAGGAATGGGAAAAGTGAATCAGAAATGGAAGGGGATCCACGGAGAGAAAATAGTTTGAACAAAGAGGGTGAGACAAGATTGGCCACTGAGTATCTGGGGAATAATGTGGAGACTGGCCTCAGCCAGAGCAGAGGCAAATAATGGACAATAACACTGTGTAGACCAACTGTTCAGGACCAGTTCTGGGCCTTTAATATTTGGGGGGAAAGTGTTTAAAAGCTTGAGATTTGGAGTTAACCTTCTTATACTCCTAGTGATCAAACTGACTTTAGTTAAATTATAAACTAAGAATAGGGCATGACTGAGGAAGCATGGCAAACTTCTTACATCTTCCTGAATGGAGATAACGTTTTAGGTTTTCTCTCTCATAAGAAGGAGCCCTCCCCCAAAACCCAACTCTGTCCTCCCTTAACTGGGAGAAAGTATTAGTCTAATTTCCCCCGCCCTGTCGCAGATTCAAACTGGCTACAGGAAAACAGTGCCCACAGATCTCATCTTCACAATTTTCGCCCGCTATCTACCAGTAGTTGGGAGAGAGTTTAAGGTTTCGGTCACAAGGTATTTCGAATCGGGCACTGACATTTCACTTTCTTAAGAGCATGAGAAATAAAGCATTCCTGCCTTTTCCACCCCCAATTCAGCAATTATTGGCCGCCAGGCCTTGGGTCCAGATCGGCGGTGAGGGTAGCCTGAGAGGTCCCTGCACCGCCATCCGCCCACGCCTTCCTCTAGCCGTCTCAGCCCCATCCCCTGCCATTCTCTCCTCTCCGCGGCCACCTCCACTCATCTCACTTCCACCCCCCCCCCCCTCACCTGGCTCCCCATTTCCCGGGTCCCCTACTCACACCTCTCAGTCCGGCCTGTTTCAGCCCACAGGGGATTTGGTCTACTCAGGGCGAATCACAAGTGGGCTTTCATCCAGGCAATTCCGGATTCGCTAATCAGCGCCGCTCTTTCAACTCCCAAATTCCCCCTCATTTGCTTACAACCGCCGCGGCTCCAGGCAACGCGGAGCGTGGTGGGTGGGCACGTCGCCCTCCGTTACGCACTCCGATTGGTCGGTGCCTGTTGGTCCTGGGACCGGCCTCATGTTCTATTGGATAGAGACAGTCCTGGCTCCCCACGCTCGCCCCACCCCGTTGTCAATCACACCGTCCCTTAGGTAACCCACGGGACCATTGGTCAGTCTAGCCTGAGGGCGGGTTGTTGGGCGGAAGAGTTGCTTTCCCGGCTTGCCTCGCTGTTACCGTGGAGACAGGACCGCAGCGCTGTGAGGCGGAGATTCCCGGCCACCCCTTCCTCCTTTCTAGACCTTAGTGCCTGTTCCGGAGTATAATGGTCATCACAGTTCCCGACCTACTGGCTCCGGCGGACCGCGGGATTTGGGGGCAAGTAAAATTAGGCCTCAGAGAGGGGGTCAGGCCCAGTCATCAAGGGTCCCTAACAAGCCTCCTGGAGAGAACCGAGTCCGAACCACCTTGTAATAACATCACGTTTTCATTCGTCCTTACCTCGCTTTTTTGTATTTGCCATTATTCTTCCGTTAGCCTTACGACGTACACTGCAGCAAGGATCATTCTACTCACGGGACAGACTGGGGAAGAGGAGCCAGGGTCAAATCAAGTAAATCTTCTGTAGCTACGCCTCCAGGCATCTGGAAATGGTCCATGCTTTTAGCAAACTGCTCTTGCCTAACTGCAAACAAAAACTTGCCATGATTTTGTTCCTTACCATCTTAGAGGTCTCTAATGAATCAGTTTTCATGGAATGTTGGAACTGAAATAGACTTTCGAACTCATGTAGTGTTAATTAAAAAAAAAAAAAACCTTGAAAGAGATAAGTTGCTTCTTCTTTAAAATCATAGGGGCTTCCCTGGTGGCGCAGTGGTTAAGAATCCGCCTGCCAATGCAGGAGTCACGGGTTCGAGCCCTGGTCCAGGAAGAGCCCACATGCCACGGAGCAACTAAGCCCGTGCGCCACAGCTACTGAGCCTGCGCTCTAGAGCCCACAATCCACAACTACTGAGCCCACGTGCCACAACTACTGAAGTCCGTGTGCCTAGAGCCCATGCTCTGCAGCAAGAGAAGCCACCACAATGTGAAGCCCTCACACTGCAATGAAGAGTAGCCCCCGCTCGCCGCGACTAGAGAAAGCCCCGCACAGCAACAAAGTCCCAACACAGCCAAAAATAAATAAGTAATTTATTTTTTAAAAAAAATCACATGGTGGACAAAACTGGTACTAGAACCGTGGTTCCATTGGTCTAAGTTTTTTTTTCATCGAAGTGTCTTTTCTCACATGGAGTTTATCTTACTTATGATGGGAACGATGTTATATAATCTGGAGGCAAGGAGAGTTAATCAAAAACTTTCCTGATTTTGATCTCATGTCTCATCCAAATATACTGCACCATAATCAATTTATGGATACTTGGACTTTCATTATTTCAGCCAATATGCGTTGTCTTCTGTCTTCCACTTTTCTCATTTCTCAAAAGGTGTATGGCCATCCTGAAAAACTTTCTCACTTTTATACTCTTTCTTTAAAAATAATCTTTCTCTTTCAACAAAGGAATTCAGAGGCGGCTGACTTTCTATTCCAGTCTAAGGTTCTTAAGGGAGGTGAAGACAATTAGAAAAGCATAAGACAGTTTTTACTCTGGAGCCCATGGATGGGCCATACGTGTGGAGAGGGGAGGTGGGTGTCCACAAACCCACCAAAAGGTAAGGTTTAGTGTATATGTGCATATGTGGGCTTTTCTGGGGGGATCGGTGGTATCCATGGTTTTCATAAGATTTTGAGTCCATAACCCCAAGATGTGTTCTGGGGAGAAAGCTGCTCAGATGTGTGTGGGGAGACTGGTCTAGGTTCTCAGGTCTGTAAGACTTCAGCAGATAAAGAGACGAGCTCTTTGCTCACTTACATCGGCCCGCCCAAGTTGTGTGTGTGTGTGTGTGTGTGTTTTACCTCTTCTGCGACTCATAGAGGTGATAAAAATTCATCAGATTCACATAACCGTTGAACTCAGAGGGTGATGAAATCCCAGTATAATTCTCTCCAAAGAACGTTCTGATTAATAGAAACTGCAGAGGAACTAATTTTATGAAAATAGCAAATGGGATTGTTTTAGCTGAAGCAAGCCGGGAGAGTGAGCGCTGATGCCCAGCGGAAGATGCAAACATCCACGTTGTGCAGAGCTGACAGCTCCAATCTGGCCGTTTATTTATTAAATGTCTTTCCGCTGTAAATTATTAAGCCTGGATTCTGGGAGATGAGGGAGCTGACAGCATAAGACAATAGAACGGAAAGCAAACCTGGACAGCTTCCTTCAGAATTAACTGCAGCACTGTGTCTTGTGAAAACCCCTGCCATCCCGGGTTTGGAGAAGGGGGAGAGTCCCTCTTTGGCGGGACTCAGAAATGGATGAGACAAGTAACATGCTTTTGATTTCTGATTTTTATTTGCCAGTTCTTACACATCAGAATGTTCTTCAGAGAAAATTCAACCTGTTGGCTCAACAGCTGGGAGCCAGGCATTTTGTCTGTTCTCTGCAAGGGCTGTTTTGCCCAAATAAGGAAGAACTTGGTCAGCTTTACCATTCAGACGTATCAAATGAAATGTTTTAGGGTCCTCAGCCGTGAGAAGACTGGGTTCATTTGGCTTATTTAATAGCTGGAAAGCCCTTTCCTGCCGACGGGGCGTTCTAGGGTCTAATTCTTAAACTGAAAAAGAGGAAAAGGCTGGTGAACAGAGAGGGAGTGGAACTTTGATTATGCTCATCATCGAGTGAGAAGCTGGAGTTCTGGTAAATGGGGAGTGGCTGATTTATGTGAATCTCAGGCTTCACTTTTAGACCTCTGTTTTCTAAAGAGTGTAATAGAGGGCAGGAGGCTTCATTTCCTGGCCAGGCCTTGTAGGGCTTGAGTTTCCTCCTGGGTGACATGGGAAGCATTGGAGGGTCTTTGCAGAGAGGAGTGACATGATCTGACTTGTCAAAAATACTGACTGGGTGCCAGTTAGTGTAGTCTGTGGTCAGAATGGGGCCTGATTCCCATAACACTAAGCCACTCACTGGCTTTGGGTGATTCCTACCCAGGATGTCGAGTGAAAGGGCTCATTTTATTTCTCCTCACCTGTAGGATGGGTGGGATTTCTTTGTTCTTTGTGAAGTCCTCTCATGGAGAGTGCCAAGGCTGGTGATAAGGTGGAGTTTCAGGTCCCTCTGTCCTCCTACAGACACGGAGGAGGATACAAAGGATCAAACAGCAAGAGGATCTGCTACCACTGGCCCCGCCCTGGGCTGGGTTTGTGATCCAGTAATCCTGTCCGGGGAGCTGATAGACAGCCGGCTGGCAGGAGAAGGATTCCGTGAGTTCTGATTTCCTCAACTCTGGGGAAGGAGGAGAGGACTGCAGCCCAAGAGGCAGGACACCAGGCAAGCTGCTTGGAGGCCAGCTATGGCAACACGCAGCTGCTGCCTATACGGGACCTGTGGTGGGTGGGAGAAGGAAACACATGAGGCTTTGTGGGAAAGCGCGAGAGTCTTAGAAGAACCGTGGGGTTTCTGGACTAGCAGAAGTCTTGAGGCATTTTTACAGCCCATGGCAGGCCTGAGCCCCACACTGCCTTACAGGATGGAGAGTTCACTGTGCCTGAGGAGCAGCTGAAAAGTGCTGCTGTTCAGCGGGGTCACACCAATGAGTGTTCTCATCCCTTCTTTCGGGGTATTTTAGTACAGGGTCAAGCTGAGGCTGCGGGCAGTGTAGCCATGGTTCTTGAGCTCTGAGCAAAAGGAGATGGTCAGACCCGGAATTGAGGGATTTTAAAATATGGCTACAAATCTTATTTGAGTTCTCAGCTGTTCAAATTGAAAGGGCTTTTTATAGATCGGTGCTGTGTTCTGGGATTGAAAGGCCAAATACTTAGGAAGAAGCTCTGAGAGCTAAATCAGGATTAGGGATCTAATTCTCTCAGAGGCACACAAGTACCTAGGTGTGGCCCAGCATGACAGTGCAGGCTCACAAATATCCCATGTTTTTTAATTGGTGAAGGTCCCTGTCCATAAGAAGGAAACAAACCTTGAAAATTTCATTTCTGGAATGTTCTGCCCCAGAACCTTGTTTTACTAACCTTTGGGTACCATACCAAGCTATCCCCAATAGAAAATATTAACATAGGAGTTTGATGCACAAACTCAGAGGCCCTGAGGGCAGTGTATGTGACTTAAGTTTATCTAATAAATACATAATTATGAACAGAATTGCTTCTTTGATTGCTTTGCCAACATATTCTTCAGGTTGAGACAGGGGAGTCAGCACATGAGCAGGGGACAAGGAGAGAAGGAAGGAGGGGAGTGACAAAGAGCAGGAAGCTTGAGGAATGAAGAGAGTGAAGCCAGATTCCTTAAAGAAAAAGAAAGCACAGTGTGTGATCTCATCTGCGGTGAGAAGCATGGCCATTCCTGAATGGTCGTTTCCCCAAACCTTCTGTTTCCGGAGCTGAGCTGATTGCCCACTTATTAAACTCCAGATTCTGCCTGACACCTTGGTTGTGTTTTGACCTAAGGAATAAGGGCCTGGTACTATTCACTTTAAGAACTGAGCATCCCCCATCCATCAGGTGGTGTTCTAGAAATGGGGGTGTGGAGATAGATACAGTGCCTTTCTTCAGCTTGTTCACATTCTACTTTCAAGACAAACAAGAAAACACCCTGTGTGATAAAGGCTACATCACAGGCAAATCTGAGGTACTTCCTACCTACAGGGGAGGAATTAGAGGGGCCAAGGAAAGTTTCCAAGGTGATGCTGAATTGGGCCTTTATGGATGACTGGAAATTAGTCACAGGGATAAGAGGGAAGAGGTTCCAGGCACAAGGAACAGCATATGCAAATATCTAGCAGTATAAGAGAGACTAGCAGAACAGGTGCGGGGACAGGAGTTCAGTGTCTGTGGTAGGCAGTGTGGAAGGCAGG